GTACTAGGAGATTGATCAAGTGACACCCTTTCGTTTAAAATGAAATCATTATATTGCTGTGTTTTTGATTCTGCAGCTGTGTTGCTATTTTCAAAATAGAGCTTAAATCTAGGATCCAAAAACATACACAAAGAAAAAAGTGCGGCTTTTATCGAAATTATGAAACCGTCCCGCAATCTCCCGTAATACCATTACAGCCTGTTAAAGGCCACTGAAGAACATAGGCCTCTCCTATAGTTTGCCTCATAGGACATATTTGTCACTGTTGCCACGCTTGGCAAGAGGGTTGGCAACCGCAGTTTTTATATTTAGTTAGTTTTGCGTCCAACTCGACTCTTGATGACAGGGGGAACACACCACCGACCATCCCGCGGTGTGAGTGCTCCATGCCGGATGTGCGGTTCTCACAGCGCATCACCCCCTTGTTCTCCAAAATAATGGAATCCGTTATGAACTGCCACCTCATGCGTTACCTTGAGGGTCACCAACTGATTAGTGACCGCCAATACGGTTTTCTTCGGGGTCGATCAGCTGGTGATCTTCTGGTCTACTTGACTCATAGAGGGGCGGAGGCAGTAGAGTCCAAGGGGGAGGCATTGGCCGTTAGTTTGGACATAGCGAAGGCCTTCGATCGGGTTTGGCGCAAAGCGCTTCTTTCGAAGCTCCCTTCCTATGGGCTTCCCGAGAAATTGTGCAATTGGATCACCAGCTTTCTTGCAGATCGGAGCATCAAGGTAGTTGTAGACGGTGCATGCTCCGATTACAAGCCTATTAACGCTGGTGTTCCACAAGGCTGCGTGCTATCACCAACGCTGTTTCTTCTGCATATCAATGATATGTTGCAAACCGGTAGCATTCATTGCTATGCGGATGACAGCACTGGTGATGCTCTATACACCGGCCGTGGCCGTGGGAAAACTTCGCCGAGTACCGGTACAAACTTGTGTCTGAAGTCGAGTCTTTGCTGGACAAAGTCTCGGATTGGGGGCGACTAAATCTAGTCCAGTTTAATCCTCAGAAGACACAAGTTTGCGCGTTTACCGCTAAAAGGAACCCCTTTGTCGTATCTCCTCGGTTTCAAGGCACTTCCCTTGTTGCCTCAGCCAGTATCGGAATTCTCGGCGTCGACATATCGAGTACGTGCAGTTTCGTGGTCACTTGGAAGAGAAGGCCAAATTGGCCGCTAAAAAGCTTGGCGTGGTCAGCAGAGCGGGACAGTATTTCATGCCGGCACAACACCTGCAACTTTACTAGGCGCAGGTTCGGCCTCACATGGAATACTGTTCCCATCACTGGGCTGGGGCTCCCCAGTGCCAGCTCCTCCCACTTGACCGCATCCAGCGCAGAGCGGCTCGAATTGTCGACGACCGAGTCCTTTCCGATCGGCTCGACTCATTGGCGCTGCGAAGAGATGTTGCATCTCTTTGCATTTTCTTTCGCATTTACCACGGGGAGTGCTCTGAGGAATTGTTCGGATTAATCCCAGCCGCCAAATTTCACGAACGCACATCGCGGCAGAACTCCCGATACCATCCGCACCATCTGGACGATTGGCGGTTCACCACTGTGTGATTTAGAAGATGTTTTCTTCCTTGCACAACTTCCTTGTGGAATCGATTACCACCAGCGATTTTTCCAGACCGATACGACTTAGGGACCTTCAAGAAAAGAGCCTACACCTTTTTAAAAGGCCGGCAACGCATCTGCAATTCCCCTGGTGTTGCGGTTGTTCATGGTCGGCGGTAGTCACTTACCATCAGGTGAGCCGCGTGTTCGTTTGCCCCCTCTCCTATAAAAATAAAATATTTAGTCGTTATTAGGAAAACGCTGCCGGCCATCTCCTATTTTCCTACCGAAAAAAAATCTCCCCTAATAAATCTTGTCGAATTCATACAACTATACCAATTATATACAGAGTAATTTTTAATTTACTGAAGACCTTTTGGGAATATATTATTTACATCATAACAACAACATCTGTAAGTAAATAAAATATATTTCTTCAATTTTTATTTTCATACAAAAATTAAAGTATTTTAATTGGACCTTCTAAACGCTAATAGTTCTAGTATTAGCAAGTATAAGTGGCGGGGTAGGGGTAGGTGTGTAAGAGGCGGCACTTACTCATTTGAACTTTGCATAATTACCTATGTCGTCAGGTCGGTCGCCTCTGATGCGCCCGCGACGCTTGTTCTTCCGTTGTGAGATTAATATTGCGGATGTCGAAAATTTGCGTCTCAGAGATCATACTTTATAATTTGAATTTGAAATGATTTTTTAAATCTTATTTAATTATGTGTAATGATTTAAACACAATGTGTGTGTATTCAAAAATTGTTTAGGTACTACAAAATATAGACCTTCAAGGAATCAGACATGACAATAAAAACTTAAAAGTAGTTTTTTTGTAAATGTATTATATTCTGTAAAGAGTGATTTCGCTAAAATTGTTTGTCATGATGCAACCAATATATTCCTAAAAGGTCTTTAGTAAATTAAAAATGACCCTGTATATTATATCATGTGACAACTTTCCAACGGTACGCACTCTAACAACACACTACTAATACATCTTAGAGGGCATCATCTCAAATTAACTAAAGCCGTGTCACATAATAACCCACACAAATACTTTTTCAGCCAAAGAGTGGTTGAAGCATGGAACAAGCTACCATTAGAAGTGATATCTTTATTTTTTTTTATTGTAAAACGTCACCCCCACACTAGGATTTTCTCCTGTGTCGTGGAGGCAGTTTACAAACATAAATTGCACAAGGACAAACATCCAGACCCGGAACAATTATTTGTAGGCCATACAAATACTTGTTCCGTGCGGGATTCGAACCCGCAGCCCCCAGCGCAACAACTGATTGCTAAGCCACTGCGCCACGGAGCCGTCAGCACAGCATTTGCACAAACTAAGATTGGATAAACAACTAAAATAGAACAATTACACATTTGAAAATAGGATACGGGCTTATATCATCTGTTTCAACTGCTGGCCTGATAAATAATGATAATAAATAATAATAATAATAAGTAAATAAGGATTCCACACCAGGAGCTCGCGCTAAAATACGGTCTCATGGATCGGAAACTGCCTTATTGTAAGTACTTGCCGGAAGGCTTGCTCGAAAACGACCGCACTAGGCTCTGGACTAGACTGGGACCGGGCCATTATCACAAAGACAGGACTATTCTTGCAAATAAGCCTGATATTGTGCTGATGGACCGGCACAGTTAAGGATATTTTTGGTCGACATTACCATTCCGTATGACGAGAACCTTGTGAAAGCCGAAACAGATAAGAAAACAAAATATCTGGACCTGGCTCACGAAGTGACCGACATCTGTGGTGGTCTGCCAACTGAAATTATTTCGGTAGTCGGGCTGAAATTAGTTCGGGCTAATCCCGGTTTGCCTCTCAGGTCATCTGAGGCGACTGGGACTCCGTGACGGACCGCTCCAGGCTCAAATGAAAAAGGCGGTGCTCTTCGATACGACGGTTTCTTTCTTTTTTTCCCTAACCCTCGGCCGTTTGGTCTGCCGAGGGCTTCCATCTGGTTGGACTTTTATTTATTTATGTATTATTTATTTATGTTAGTATACTTAATATATATTTATGTGTATTTATCATTTACTCTTATATATCTATTCAGCCCAACCAGATGAGAATAGTTTATAAATACTCATAACAATAAAATCTATCATTTCCTTTTACATATTTATTCTGCCCGACCAATGAGAATACTCAATAAATACCCCAAAATAATAATAATAATGTACTCGTAGTGGTCAAGTGAGCGTCCATAGAATTATCAAACGTCATTAGACCTCGTAACAAAATATCACAATTGATACAAATTAAGCGGACATTACCATCATTCTGGAACTTTTAGTTGGGTTAGTTTGCGTATTACCTACTTGGCAGTATATTTATTGTGTGAAAATAGTTTTTATACTTCTTCCGCTATCCTCGACAATGCGGAAGGATTGGAGAGCCATTATACACAAATTCATGATGTGGTTGTATAAACCAGTGTGCAATTTTTTTTTTTTAATAATGCTTTATTGATATGATCGTATACGTTGCAGAATTCAACCTACATAATAAGATCAAAATATATCATAAGTTGCTGCATGCTGATTTTACCACTGTGTGTGTGCTCGGATGTCGTCTTGCTTACGTTAGTGAATGTGGTTGCTGTATTCGAAGCAGTGAATGCAGTAGTTGCAGTAGGGTAAATACTTGATAGACGTGAAAACATCCTCCCATCGCTGCACATAATTAGCTAAAAGATAATATTTCCTTTTTAAATGTTTGCTTTAATTCGAAAGTTGTAGGTACTTTTAGACATAGGTCTCATTTGGATTATTTTACAGTTTGCGATATTATTCCCTTTGCCCACAAAATTATTCCATGCAGCACAACTCGCCCTCTGAGTCATTATTTGAAAGTTTAATTCTTGAGTCTATCAATTTATTGGGACCTACGTATTTCTAATATTCTAGTAAACAGTTACATGTGTGGCGTATCTTGGAGATGTTTGCAAAGTTTTAAGCCTTCCCCGGTCAAACATACAGCAGTTTCTCTGGATTTATCACGTTGTATGTATATACATTGGTCTGCAGAATAAATATCAATTGCTTTATTTGGCCATAGACTCGTACAGAATGTACATTATGATTTAAAAAACTTCTTCACAATATATTAATGCGTCACATTGCGAAGTTCTTGGGAGATTTTGACCGACAGCTTGAGCCCAGTCAAGTTCTTAGGGCACCAAAGCTATGTTTCGTTGTTTCCAATAATAGTTCACATGCGCAGACACTTAATACACAAAGAAGCATCTTTATTACATATTAAAATCCACTTCAAACAATTAATTATTTAACTAAACAATAGAATAAGATTAACAATCCACCGTCGGTTAAGTTCCCGCCAAAACCCAAATATCTTTTTACTATCGGGAAATGTATACCTTGATTTTTTTTTTCAGGCACGAAGGTCGTACATGGTATACGAACCACCGCGGCAGGTTGTGGATCGCGTCGACGGTGAAACCTCCAGATCATAATGTCGTTCGAGCCTTGGAGAACCAGTACAGAGTGCTCTATCCAGGTAAATATTAAATGTAAAAATTCCAATATCGTCCGACAGCTATATTGTGGTTATAGCACAAATGGCTTGACTTAACAGAGCCACGCTCTCTTAGAATGTCAACGTAAAATAGCAGCTAAATGCACCGATAGAGTACCGAAGACACTACTCGATAAGTTAAAATTAAAAATTTTGTACAACCGACTTCAATATAAATTATTAAGAACTAGCTGTTCCCCGCGACTTCGCCCGCGTGATATTTATTACGATTGGATTTCATGGGTTTTAATTTTTTTGCGCGAAACCCTAATTCTTTTTCTAAAATAAAAATAGCCTAAGTTACTCCCTATAAAATCTGCTATCTGTTAGTGAAAGTCCCGTCAAAATAGGTCCAGCCGTTTTAGAGATTAGCCGGAACAAGCAGACAGACAGACAGACAAAATTTTAAAAATTGTTTTTTGTTATATGTACCGTTTATACTTTCATATGTATTTGGTAAAAAGTTGTTAGTTTGACATTACAAACAGACACTTCAATTTTATTTATTTGTATAGATAACTCAAAAACCATTGGTTAGACCTTGATCAAATTTATTGGACCACATGAGAAGCACCAGCTTTCAAATATAAAACGAAATCGGTTGACCCAGAAAAAAATTATATAGAATAAAAAAAAGAGACTGTTACGCCGCTTTGTACCAGTGCATGCTAGCGGACTTAACTTCTGACGATGTTTCCCTTCTTCACCAAGCACGTTGTAATTGTACTTTATTATATTTATATATATATATATATATTGTACTATAATATATATATAAATATATGCGTATAATTCGCCGACACACTGCACGTGTTAAAAATAACTTTACTTGCGTCGTACAACGTGCCAATATGTTATTATTTGTGGTCGTTTACTCTCATTTAATAAAACTTTTTGTTTCAGATAAACAATTTAAGTTTCCTTCGTTTTACCCGACGGGCTGTCTGCTCGGCTGTGTGAACGTAGACGATTGTCTGCCGCAGGAGGAGTATCAGAAAATGTAAGTTTTTCACCTGGTATAGCCATATTTCAGCCGTATTATTGTTGTAGTACGAATGGGCCGGCTCGAAAGGAACACACTCACAGAATACCAGCGTAAAATAGCAGCCTAATGCTGGTGTGATTTTTATGATGAGTGTAGGGAACCGGAGCCTCTTTTTACTGGAAACGAGGCATTCCATCTAAGTCCTAAGGGGTGACAACGTATCTCCATTTTGATTTTTAATCAAGGATAAATGTAGATGTCTATAGGCCGCAGCATCCACATACCATCAGTGAACTATGTGCTTGTTTGTTAAACCCTTATTCTATAAAACAGAACCTTATAGAAATACATATGCTATGATGAGGGCATCATTATTACAGCCCTTCGCAAGTCGACTGCTGACTTATACCTCATCCATAGATTAGTCTATAGGGGTTATATTCGTCATAGTTTCCAACGACAGTTGTTGTTATTTTCAGTTGTTACAAAAGACTTCTATGCATACAGCTATATGGGCTTTCAGGGCTTAATACATTGTGCACTAATACAGTTACGGTCAATGCCATGCTGCTGTTCAGCTGTGTTTCGTGGAGACCTTTTTTACGAACAACGAGGCGTTTAATCTTTGAATCAGTATCTACATCATCATTATACAGTCATCTACATTTCGATTTGTAAATCATAGTAAATGAAGGTGATTATGGGCTACAGAATCCACTTACTACCTGTATGGAGATTCCGTGATTGCTCGTTGACGCTAAGACAGCACCGTCGAGATTTTAGTCGGTAAGAGTCACATTTCCCTACGTAAAAAAGGCCACCTGATGGTAGGTGGATACTGTGGCCCATAGACATCCGCATCTATCCCCGATTAAAAATCAAAATGATCCACTTTTGTACCCCTGTGTACTAAGATGGGACGCCTCGTTGACAGGAAAAAGGATCTATGGTTCTCTACAATCACAATACGAAACACATTACGCTGTTACTTCACGCTGGTGTTTTGTGCGAGCATGGTCCTTCCCCGGTCGAACCAATCATGCTCCAACCATATTGGCTGCAGCGTGACTATGTGAATATATACCTAATTATATATAGATATAGCATGGCCGTACTCTACCTTTCCGAACTCTTTCAAATATATTGTTATGGTCAAGTTCGCGTATTATAATGTTTATTACAGTGTTAGTTATACTTATATAACATTTAAAAAGAGGTTTTAATTTGATTAGGTATCCAGATGGTGAAAGCGACAGTCCATACGTCTTCATCTGCTCAAACCCCGTCAGTTTGAGGCTTCGATTTCCTATCAAGGGTCAACACAAAATATGTAAGTTGTTTCAAAATATTTACTCAATGTACATATCTTCACGTCCACGACGCCAGATAAAGTGATTTTTGAAATTTAATTATGTCTTATTTGTTATAGACACTCTAGACAAGACAATTCACCAAGCAGCCGTAAAATGCCTTCAAAAGATGTCAAAAATACAAGCCGAAGAAGCTAACGCTGCTTGAAACACTAACTGTTATAATTTATATTATTGTTATTTATGTAATTAAAAATTGAAATAAAGAAAAAAACTGTTATATAGAAAATGTTTTATTTACACACTACTTTTCTAATTTTTATAAATATTTAGTCACGAACGCACATTCCAGCTTCGTAGCTTAATCTTACTTTCTATAAAGAATAGCGCGAGCTCACACACACGCACCTACATACACATACATACGTATAATATTAATGTGCAATCATTCACCCAAATATACGTAATACTTTTAGCCACATTGCTTTAGGTCGTGTTCCGATAATACACTGCGAGCACTGCTCAGTGTTCAGTGCTCTCACTGGTGAAAAATTCGTTCCGTTATAGATTACCGATATACTGCCGCAGTACCCTAGGGAAATATATGACGTCATAAATCGCCGCCATTTTTGTACTGTAAGCATTGGCGCTCGAGGTAAGGTGCTCTCAGTGTTTTGATCACGTGATCAAAAAACAACAGCGCCTAGAGATTTAACAGCTTCCACGTTTGATTGTTATTATTATTAATTAATATTGTTATTGAAATAAATTCGGAAATTAAGTTTTAAAAGCAACAATATTCAAATAATAATTTTTCTTGTTGAACAGAAAACGTGTACATGATAAATGTTTTCATTTGAGAACAGTATCGAAAAATGGAGATGATGACAATATACTGGACTGCTTTTTGTTTTAACCAATGATCAGTATAGCAAACTAAAAAGGAACGGCTTCACAGTTTACTGAATTGACGTCACACCTTACACCTCACAGTGGTCACAGTGTACATCGGAATATACCTTTAGTGACAATTTTACAGACTAAAATGAGCACCAACACAGAAAAAAGCCTCAGATTTTCTCTAACCTTATAAAATAATCCAAAAATAAAGAAAGGTACGTTATTTTTGGACTCGTTCCACTATATTTCACTTAACTTCTCCGAGGAAATATAAAATGTAATAAATATAAGTCCGGTCGCTTTGGCAATCGAAGGGGATTTGGTTTTAATATAAACTACGTATATAAGTAAAGTTACGATTCCTTCTTCTGGTTCAGTTGAGGAAAGAACGCTTCTATTGGAAGGATGGGGTCATCTGTGGCTATCGTAAAGTAATTGGGTATACGTCTACTGTTTCCAGAAACTGTCTTAAACATGCCTGGGTTGTTGTAATCTTGACTAGCCGCTAATGTCAGGTCAGATACACGTTTAGAGTGCTCAAATAGATGCTCTATGTTATCGTGATGCTTCTTATCAGCTATTTTCATTATAGCGCTCTCAGATCGAGTTCTTTCTGATGTCATTTCATTTTTTTGATCGTAGTTGACTGTGGTTTCTGTTACGCTTATATCTTGTACGGACTCGCCTGTTTCGGAATCCTTGATCTTCTTACGTAATGGTCTTTTATTGTAAACTGTAGTGGGGCTTGAAGTTCCGGTAGATTCTTCAGTTGAATGTCTCCGAGTTCCGTTGCGAATGCGTGATGATATTTTATGTGTTGTAGGTTCGCTTTCCACTGTTGTCTGTCTTTGTCTTCCCGATTGTCGCGTTGAATGTATCTCCATTTCTATCTGCTCATTGTTTTCAGTTTTATTAAATTTGTGTCTTGGATCCTTTGGCGTGAATCGTTTCCTAATGTCCCCGACTTTATCATTTTCGTTATTAGAATTTTCATTATACGGTGCATTTCTTTGAGGAAACCTTACTTTAGGCGTGTTTTCAACCGATTTCTCAGTGGTACTAGTGGTGCTACTTAACCGACTCCTGTAATCTCTAATGCTAAATTTTGGTCGGTCTAATTTGTTCCTTAGTCTAAGTCTGTTTGGTGTTCCTGAAGTTGTTTCTGAGCGCGGCGTTGTTGTTTCATCAAAACTGTATTCGTTGCTCTCCTTTAAGTAGTCTGTAGTTGTTTCTTTAATGTGTACAGGTTTTACATCTCTATGGAATGAAAATTCTTTGTGTTCTTCAGCTGATGTTTTAAGTGAGTCTGTAAGACTTACTGATACGTCGCTTGTTGGTGTATCTTTTTCATCTTGCTTGTGGGTATAGTCTGGTATATCGTTAGCTTTATGTTCATACATACTCGATGTTAATTTGGATAACTGCGGACGAGATGATATTTTCATTATTGGAGATTCATTGTTACTGTCGTAGTCTCTGAACGATACGGTTGTCGTTTCAATTCTGTCAGCTGGCGTTGTTGGCTTACGACGGTGCCCGATTTTTCTCCTTACAATCGATGGTATCGTTGGCGATATAGTTGGCAATGCGCTAGTTGTAAAATCTGTGGTGACACTAGGTGTTGTTTGACTTTGCTCTTGCTGTGATGGTCTGACTCTCGGTCTTATTGTATAAATTTCTTCCGTTACGGTAGTGGTTAGCGTTGGTTCTGATGATGACTGTTCGAATTTACGAGTAGTTGTTTCTCCTTTGTTGCGATTATTATTTGCAAAACCTGGACGCCGTCTCCTCAATTTATTCCTTTTGCGAATTCTGTCTTTGTCAAGTGGCTCTGGTGTACTTGGACGTTTAAAATGTTTATTTGGAGGAAGCGTAGGTAGAGCCTCTACTGGTATGTCATTGTTTTCTTTATCAACGCTATTGTTAGTTGTTGCTTCTGACTGGAAAATATTAGATGCTTCAGTTGGTTTTTTCGTTCGCCTTGCATGCGTATGATCCCCATATGAAGGCGTGGAGACTTTGTAATAATAATCTTTGAGTTTATTCTTCTCAATTGGTTCAAAATCTTCTTCTAACGGCCGTCTACTTTGAGAATCGACTTGACCGTCGTAAATCAAAGAGTTTTCATAGCCTTTTTCGCTTTCGGTTACTATAACAAATTGTTCTGTAACTTCAGGAATCGGCGTTGTTGAGTGTCGGAACGTCGAATAGACGTTTTCTTCTTTCGGAACCGTCTCTTCACTCGTCTTTAGGCTGTTTTGATATTGTTCAGGGGATGAGGCCCAAGCAGGTGAATGGGTAATGAAATCGTTGTGATTTTCAGTAACTTCATAGTGACCTTGGTGTGATAAAGATGGAGTTTCTTGGAGTTGAGTTCTTGGTGGCTCAGCATATTGTTGTGAAGTTTGTTGATTTACACCTGCTGTCAAACTGTCATGTAGTTTTATTTTCTTATTTTCATAGTTATAGTTCTGATTCTGTTGATTTTGGTAGTTTTGTATTTGTGCGTTCAGTTGATTTTGGGAGTGCTGACTTGGCGCGTTATGATTGGATGAAAAATAGAAAGAATTAGCTAACGTAGTTGTTGGAATAACAGGATTGTAGGTTGAGATTTTATTTAAGTCCAGGTTTTGATAAGCCTTAATAAATGGGTCCTGTGGACTTGGCTTAAATATGCCTTTGCCGTTGGCATTAGGATCTATTTTAGGTGGATTTGCTACCTTAGTCTGCGGTGTGGGTGTATTTCGGAAATCGTTCACTGCTGATCCGAATTGGAAGCGATTTTGGGTCGTTTGTACTTTGGGTGTAGTAGCTGAAAATTGGCTTGGGGTCGATTTAAAATAATTTGAGTTATAGCTAAAAGAGTTAAAAACAGTTTGCTTAGTCGGTTGAGGTGGTACGAAAGCTGTTTTCGTTGACGGAAACACAGGATCTCTTCCTTTCACTGACTGCACACCAAAGGATCCAAATGATCCTGAAATAGAAAACAAATAAATATTTATGATTGATAACATATGATTTTTATAATTTAATATATCATAACATATACATTTAATTAATTCATAATTATTCACTGTCAAAGACAATCTAGCTGTTAAGTTCCCTTTAATTTTCCTTTTTCTTTTTTTTTTCTTTAGATTTTTTATTTTAGTTGTCTACTTCTTGTTATTTTACCTAGACATACAAGCTTTATCTTAATTATAGGTAGCCACCTATAATTAAGATAAAGCTTGTTTGCCTATTTTGTTCTAAGATTAAGTGTTTTTATTAAAATTTGTAAAGCTTATATCGTGTTGGTGCCTAAATAAACAAATAAATTTATTTTGGTGATAAATGTTTCTAAATGAATATATTCCGTCTTACTACAAAAGGTTTCTATCGATAATAAACTATTGACAGTCACGGGGTTAAACTATTATTTAACACGAGACCTAACTAAAGAAGTTCCTTAACCGCATCGCCATAGTCTTATCAAAGTTTTACATTTGCTGTCAAATTCCATACTTCGCGGAACTTCTTCCTAGAAACAGATTCCAATTTATGTTATTTATTTAAAAACTTTATTGTTCTAACCATAAAGGTTACAAAGGATGGACTTAATGGCAGTTAGCATGCTCTGCCAGTCGATGGCGTGGTGAAAAATTAGTAGCAGGTGACTACTAAATATAATAAACTTATATAGGTACCTATAACACATAATAAAATAAGGCTTGTCAATTACACAAATGCATATGAAATCAAACAAATACATAATAATTCATATATAACAATTAAACTTAATAAATATACGCAGACATAAATACATACATAAACACAAACATAAATACACATATACATATTACATACATGGTTTGGTCATGTAGAAATAATGAACGAGGAAAGAGTGACAAAGCAAATTTATGTTGCAGAAGTGAACGGCAGGGTCGGGAAGGGACGCCCTAGATGAAGGTTTATCGACCAAATCGGCGATACATTAAAAATGGGCCAGATTAGGAGTACCCTTAACCGACGAGCGTGTATGCGTAGATATATGGATGTAAAAGAGGCGAGAGAGGTGTGTCACGATCGCGCCAAATGGAAGTCCGTAGTCTCTGCCTACCCCTCTGGGTGACAGGCGTGAGTGTTTATGTAAATGTATGTATGTATATTACATACATACATAATATGTCTGGATAAAGGTAGCAGTATTGACATTATGCTGACGACATGTACACTACAATCTTTTGAACCCTATCTTATTTGGTGCTTTCCTAATGTCTTCAGGTATAGAGTTCCAGAGTAGTATAACCTGAACAGTAAAAGAATTGATAAAGCCAGTAAAATGGAGTGGAACTGAAATCTTCAGATTAGTTTAAGAGCGAAGTACCTTGTCGTGGTTGGAGGAAAGGTATTAGAGAAATTTTTCTTCAAGGTAGGAAGGGGAGGACAAATCATTTAAAATGGAGTAGAGAACAGACAATATTCTGGAAGTGTGTCTTATTCGGATAGTTAGTCATTTAAGGCGAATACGAAATTGAGAGATATGGTCATTATAAACCTGATGCAATTATTAAGAAGGCGCTCAAGCTTTTGGTTCAAGTCTGAGTAGCAAACATTTGCATAATCAATGACAGGAAAGATAAGTGTTTGAACAAAGTCAAACATATGCTTAGTTTTGTATGGGAGAAAGTTTTTCAGACGGTAGAGCGATCTTAAGGCAGCAGTGACTTTACAGCTGACCTCAGTGACTTGTTTTTCCCAGTTCAACGTTTTATCCATATATAGACCCAGGTTTTTATCCAGTCAGAAAACGGGATCAACTTATCATTTTAAAATACGGGTGGTAAGCAACTGACGTCAATTTTGTCCAGCATTCTTTAGCTGCCAACAGGCATTGCTTGACATTTAGACGGATTGACAGAAATGCCAAAACGCGATGACCAGTCTTAAATGGTTTTCAAATTATGGCTTAGTTTAGCGATAGCATCATGTAGATTATCGGTTTATACCTGAGACTAATTGTAAACTACTTGTAGTTATAAAGCCAATTATGTTTAACTTCATACTTAAAACTATCATTTTCTGACTAATGGTCTGGACGTATATAGAACAAAAAAAACAATAAGGAAACAAATTATGTTGTTTCCTTGTGATAGCAGTGTAAAACAACTCCTTCTAATCGCATTGGTAAAATAATAATCGAATCAAAAGAGAATCTGAATAGCGCTTCTTGCACCATTTGGTAAGATTTTTAACCCTTTCGCTGTCCCGTGCACTACATATAGGGCACTGATATTGTCTTACTGTTGTGTCTGGAAACCGGACAGTGAAAGTGTTAATATTTGAACCGGTGATAGGAGCAGAATCAGGTGGTAAACTGACAGTTTACTCAAGTTGTTAGTGCAGCCCGTGCACACCTGTAACTAACTATAAACAAGGCTATAGATGCAATGTCATCCCTGAGAACAAAGACTCACAGCCAGTTGTCATAATGGATCTTGATACCCTTCTTTTTTTATTTACTATAAGCCAGTGCTTGACCACAATCCCACCTGGTGTTAAGTGGTGATGCAGCTCTAGATGGAAAACACTGTCTTAGCGTAACAAAAGCCTATTCACTCTTGCCTTGAAGTCGCCCAGATTGTATTTCGACGGAAAGATAGACGCCGGCAAATTATTCCACTCCTTTGCTGTATGCATTACAAAAGACGAAGCAAATCGTTTGGTTCTAATGCGTGGAATATCGACAACAAAGGGAAGGACAGTGGAAGGGAAGAATCGCCAACCGCCTGGTTGTCCGATGGAGGAAAAGAGAGGGAGAAATGAAAGCGTGTAATTCCTGTGCACACTCACCGAAATGCATCCTATAGAATACCGAGAGCTTGGCTACTCTGCGCCTGTGCTCGAGGCTGACAAGATTGGTTTAAATCAAATCAAGATCATCAATGAGCCTCTTAGCACGTCTCTCCACTGAGTCCAATGCTGCCAGGTGGAATTTTGCAGCACTAGTTCATATGTGACAACAGTACTTCATGCACGACCGGATTTGCGCGTTATATAAGGTAGAAGTTGTCCCGGCGTGAAGTACCGCCACACCCTTGCAAGGACGCCAAGTTTCCTTGCGGCTGCTTTGGCTCTGGACTCAATGAACCGCCCATAGTCGAGGTTTGGAGAAAATTCAACCCTTAACAACTGAAGGTGGTCAGTGTACTTCAAGGATACATTTCGGAAAGTAGGAGCCAAGGTGAACGGGCTCCTTTAAGCGGTTAAAAGACACGAATTGCAAGCAAAAAGAGAAGCAAATCAGTCCGCTTTCTCCTTAGGCGCATGCGCCAGTGAACCATCTGGTTTTACCAGCGGAGGCAGTGTAAAGCGACAGAAGTTTGTCTCGACCGCTTTGGCGAGAGACCAAAAAGCTCTACTGCCAGATGGTATGACAGAAAGCTTGTACAGATGTGTTTTATGCGGTCGAAACTGGCTTGCCGTAATGCCTTTTTGTAGGACTTGGCGGCTTGGTTAAAGGCTCTCTTCTTAAGGCTAACATCCAGAGATTTGCGGTCTCGAGCATCGACCCAGGATAAGTATGCCAAATGCTTGTGCTTTTGCAGCCGTGAAGTGGCGGTTAAGAATATCCACTACCCCATATCTTCCCGTGGGTGTCGTAAAAGGCGACAAAGGGAAACAGGCAGGAGATGGGCAGCAGCATCTTCTTGATAGTAGCCGAAATTATAATAAAAAAACTGCGGTTGCCAACCCGCTCGCCAAGCGTGGCAACTATGGCAAATACCCTCTATGAAGAAAGTAACAAAAAGACGGCCCCCAGTCCCCGGCGGCCCCGCTATTCCTGGCTACGGTGGCGACCATGGTAACGGCGGGGCAGGGGGTGCTTAGAATCTCCGATGGAGGTTCGGTTGCCACCTTTGACGACTCGACCTGGCAACGTACAACGCACGCACCCTGAGGACTGACGAGAAGATCGTGGAGTTGGAAGAAGAGATAGACAAGTTACGCTGGCATATTATAGGATTATCCGAAGTCCGAAGAGAGGGGGAGGACATGGTAATCCTCGAATCCGGCAACTTGCTCTATCACCGGGAGGGCGACCATCTGTCCCAAGGAGGTGTCGGATTTATTGTCCACAAGTCTCTCGTTAACAACGTTGTAAAGATAGAGAGTGTGTCGAGGAGGGTTGCGTACCTTATACTCAGAATCACCAAACGGTATTCGCTGAAGGTCATAGAGGTTTACGCACCAACCTCGGCACACCCCGATGAGGAGGTGGAGGAAATGTATGAGGATATCTTTAGAGCCATGCATTCCTTCAAAACCCAATATACGGTGTTAATGGGAGACTTCAATGCAAAACTAGGCACAAGAGAGAACGGTGAGCTGAAAGTAGGGAAATTTGGAATAGGGCAACGGAACCCAAGGGGCCAGCAGCTGGCCGACTTCAAGGAGAAAGAGGGACTATTTATGATGAACTCTTTTTTCCAGAAGCGGCCCCACAGGAAGTGGACCTGGTCGAGCCCCGACGGTTCGACAAAAAATGAGATTGACTTCATTATGACGACCAGACGACAACTGTTCAGTGATGTCTCAGTGATCGCGAGGGTGAAAACCGGCAGCGATCACCGAATGGTTAGAGGCACAATGAACCTAAACGTTAAGTTGGAGAGGTCTCGTCTAATGAAGTCAACGCTCCGTCCCCCTCGTGCTCTGTTCCAAAGTCCTGAAACCTTTCAGCTCGAATTACAAAACCGTTTTCAGTGCCTAGAAAACTGCAATGAAGTGGACGATATGAATGACAAGCTCGTGGAAACTGTCCATGCGGTCGGAGCAAGACCCGCCGCAGAAGAACACAGAAACTCCCCGATCACACTCTTAATCTCTTGGCTGTTAGACGGGAGATGAAGCTACATTGTTCAACAGATTTGACAGCATACAGGCAACTGGACAGACAGATCTCCAAATGCATGCGGCGGGACTTACGCAACTTCAATACAGCTTGTATTGAAGAAGCGATCGAGTGGAACCAAGGCTCCAAAGTCTTTGCCAGAGATCTGTCTGCCAGAAAGAGCCAACTGTCAAAGCTGAAGACCGAGTGTGGCAGCATCGTTTCCGGGGCACATGAGATTTTGAGTGAGATTGAGAGGTTCTATGGGCAGCTGTACACGTCATCGTTGGAGCCACACGCAAGTGTGAGTAACGATCCAAGAGCGAGTCTTATCCGACACTATTCCGAAGATATCCCGGACGTCAGTCTGAGCGAGATTAGAATGGCTCTCCAGCATCTTAAAAACGGCAAGGCCCCAGGCGAGGATGGAATTACAGTGGAGCTTCTGAAAGCGGGTGGAAAACCGGTACTTGAAGTCCTTCAGAAGCTCTTTAATTCTGTCGTCCATGGTTGCATTACACCGGAGGCGTGGAGCAGAAGTGCGGTGGTCTTGTTCTTCAAGAAAGGTGACAACGCTCTCTTGAAGAACTACAGACCGATTTACCTTCTGAGCCGCGTCTACGTGCTGTTTTCGAGAGTCATTACGATTCCTCTCGCGCGCAGACTTGACGACTTCCAGCCTCCCGAACAAGCCGGTTTCCGAAAGGGCTTTAGTACCATAGACCACATACATACCCTTCGGCAAGTTGTACAGAAGTCCGAGGAGTACAATTTGCCACTATGCCTGGCGTATGTGGACTATGAGAAAGCCTTTGATTCCGTCGAAATTTGGCGGTGCTGCAGTCCCTTCAACGGTGCCAAGTTGACTGTCGGTATATCGAAATGCTAAAGTGCTTGTACAGTAGGACTATCAACGTTTTCTTGGGTGACTGCAGTTTTTGGACGACCTTGACGGGGATCATCACTAAGCTTGACACGTCCACGTTGAAATTCAGCAAACCAGCGATAAAATGTGGTTTTGGATGGGGCTTCATCACCAAATGCAGAAATCATCCGGTCAACACACTGTTTTTGTGTTAAACCACTTCGAAAGTCATAATAAATCATCGCACTTGAATTTTCTCGAGTCAATTCCATTTTCTCAACGACTAAACAAGTTTAACAAAACGTTGTGACATGACGGAGAATCTTTTTTTAAATAAATAAATGGTATTCGATTTTTAAAACCAAGGAGTTTAAAAACAAAAGATTTTAATATGACAGGAACAGTGGAAATATTCCATTCCCGATACTTTTAGTGCAGCCTATGTACGATGGCTATCCGAGTACAGAACCAGAGTACGAAACCTATCCAATTGCAGAGAGGTGTAAGACAGGGTGACGTTATAACCCCGAAACTCTTCACCGCTGCATTGGAAGACGTTTTAAAGCTTCTGGGCTGGAAAGGATACGGTATTAACATCAATGGCGAGTACATCACTCACCTTCGATTTGCCGACGATATAGTCCTTATGGCAGAATTGCTGGAGGATCTAACCACCATGCTCAATGACCTCAATAGTGTCTCACAACGGATAGGTCTTAAGATGAACATGGACAAAACAAAGATCATGTTCAATGTCCATGTCACACCTATGTCGGTAGTTGTTGGGAGCACTAAGCTCGAAGTTGTTAACGAGTATGTTTACCTGGGACAAATAGTCCAACTAGGTAAATCCAACTTCGACCGAGAGGTCAATCGACGGATTCAACTCGGCTGGGCAGGGTTCGGGAAACTACGACACATCTTCTCGTCAGACATTCCTCAAAACCTTAAAACGAAATTGTACAACCAGTGCGTGTTGCCAGTGATGACTTACGGATCTGAGACGTGGTCCTTCACTGCTGGCCGGATGAGGAAGCTCAAGGTCGCTCAGCGAGCTATGGAGAGGGCTATGCTCGTAGTTTCTCTGCGTGATAAACTTAGAAATGAGGATATCCGCAGTAGAACCAGAGTGACTAACATAGCCCAACGGATTAGTAAGCTGAAGTGGCAGTGGGCCGGCCATATAGCTCGAAGAACCGACAACCGATGGGGAAGAAAGGTTCTTGAGTGGCAGCCTCATACCGGTAGGCGAAGTGTAGGGCGACCAACCACGAGATGAAGTGACGACCTGGTAAGACATGCAGGAAGTCGATGGATGCAGGTGGCTCAGGACCGTGCTTTGTGGCATTCCTTGGGGGAGGCCTATGTTCAGCAGTGGACTTATGAAAGGCTGTAATGATGATGGTGATGATGCTTGTGCTTTTCAGCACGAGCACACGAGCGCGTTGAACCATGGGTGAGCTTTACCACCAATGGGCACGTCAGCAAAGGGAATGATATACTCCATCGCTTGACGTATCACGTATGGTTAGTCTTCTGGTATGGAAACAGCCAGTCCTGATGACAGGCATTAAAGTTGCCCAGAAAAACCAACTGTGCATTAGGGTACCGATTTAGAGCCTCATCAGAGGCTTCACTGAGGTGTTCAAATAGTCTAGTTGTCTCCTGGTCACCGCTGTGCGATCCTTAGACACAAGAATAAATAATATTATCCATTCCTGTGTCTATCAATACCCAGATCGTAGAGAAAGTGGGGTCTTCAAGGTGACGGAGACGCTTACAGCAGATGTCGTTGCGGACTTAAACACAGACTCCGGCGCGCAGGACAATGTCTTTATAATGATGACAATGATAACTTCAATCACGCTTAATCAAAAGAATAAATATTTAATTTTTAAAGATTGTTAATTTTATTGATTTAATTAAACGCACAGTGACGGTGTAAGAATATCCACTATCTCATAATCATGGATGTCGTAAGGTGTGAAAGAGACAGTAGGAAACTGAAACAAGAGATGGGCACGAGCGTCTTTCTGATAACAACTTATAATCATAAAAAAACTAAAAAACTGCGGTTACGTTTGTGTGCGGTTATGAGGCAGTCTATGTGGGAGGCCTATGTTCAGCTATGGACTTGTATTGGCTGTAATAAACGGATTCATACATTTTATTGGAACTCAAATGTTTTGCTGCTTTTTTAAATTCCCCATAGCTCTCGTTTATAATAGAGATCTTTAACTTACCTAAAATGCTTGGCGGTAGTGCGCTATCTTGAAAAGCATAATTGGCGAGCGGGTTCACGTTGTTACCGGCGAAGGTTTGCTGCTGGGCAGTCTTGACCTCTTGTTTCTGAACCGTGTTACTGTTCGGCAACTTATAAACTTCAGGTTTGAAAATCTCCGTGACAGTCTGAGGTTTCTTACTGCCTTCTACTGGCCTGCCATATGAGTCAACCGGTTTTCCGAATTGATCCTGCGGTTTTTGTGTCTGGTATTGTCCGAAATGTATGGGTTGTATGCTAGTTAGTTGTTGCAGCAAATTATTGTGTTGCTGCTGCTGTTGTGACGGATATCTTTGTTGCTGTTGGTGATGTCCGAAAGAGTTATGAGTGTTTCTTACGAAATAGCTATCGATGGGAAAATTTTGAACGTATTTGAATTGCGTGGCCCCATTGTTAGGGAGGGCGAACGGGTTGTAGTAGGAGTTGATTGGGTGGTTCCCAGGAGAAACTGATGCAGTGGTCCTAAGCGTAGTTGGACGATAGGATTGTGCTATTGAGGTCAGCTTAGCGGCGTCCCTGGTCGCTATTGGCCGTGTTGAGGACGGGTATTGGTCATAGGCGGGCAATTTATAAGATGGTGCATGAAGTGGAGCTGTGCCATATGATCCGTATAGCAGGCCGCCTGATCCAACTACTGGTCTCCAACCGCCTTTTGAAGGTGGTAAGTTCTGAAACACATATTTTTTAAATTATAATATAATAGAAAAAAATATTTGCTAAATCAATTTTTTTGACAAAAAATATTTTAATCAACAAAGCTCCTAATTTTCTTTGCAAGTACAAGTCATTCTAATAGAGAAATTGTATTTAAACGTCATTGTTTTATATTTTTAAAGACTTAGAAATATAAAAAGTTAAAACCCAATTTAGAAGATTTCCTGTGTGTTTATCTAGTTACTTTTACTCTGTTGTTTCTTTCTTTTTACTGACTGACTTTATTAAAAGTAGGTATTTTATTTATATTTCTTAGGATTAAAGGTAGGTATATAAAAGAAAGAATACACAGAAAAAAAAACAAAATTAACTTTGATTCATATCTGTCATGTCTGTTCCTCTTGGCAAGGCAGATTCAGAAGTGCCGAGAGTCGTTAAATTCGCTTTGGTCTTCAGAGGGTCATACGCTTTATTTTATAGTATTCGTACTAATGTGGCTCTTATTTGAAATTTCTTAGGAATTTCTTAAGAAATCTTAATATTGGAATACTATATAGACCTATACATCTACTCGCAAGATAACAAGACAACTAATTATATAACATCTAGTCGTTATTCTATGGACTGGTGAGGAAAGGAAAAAAAAACAAGACTTAGTGCTCTTGAACGTCACAGTAAGTGACTAACTCGAGTTCGATCCCCACTGACTGACACCTAGTTTTTACTAGTTTGTGGACACCAAAAACAATTGTTAATTCTAATTTAATTAGTGCTGATAACCATGTACTCGACGGTGAAGAAAAACACTGTGAGGAAACTTTCATGTCTGAGGAATAATATATTTAAACAACATGTGTAGTCTGCCGACACGTGCTGGAGCAGCGTGCCAGAAATCAAAAGCACGTGGTAGAGCTATGCTATAGCTATATTAGTAGTATAGTTGTAACAGGAATGGGTCGGCTCGACCGGGGAAGGACCACGCGCTCACAGAATACCAGAGTAAAATAGCAGCTTGCTAATGAATAATGATATATCGTTATTGCAGTTTTTGAAAATACGAGTAAATAAGTCTTCTACTTTTATTTGAAATTATCCCAAATTGAATGTGATTTATGGGCAACTACGTTTTTGCCTACCGATCGACCCGTAAGAATGTGTGCGTGCGCAGTAAAATCAGTTAAAATAATGCATTACCACCCATTTTGAATATAAAAGATAAAAATGACGGAATGTTTGTAATTTTTTTTAATTCATTTTTCTTTACCATTTGCCTATATTACTTAACTCTGAACCTTATTTTTTTCTGAATTCAATTTTGGAATGCATTTATTACGTACTGAGATGACTGATGAGATGACGAGCCATTCCTATTCCACATATTATTTTTCACTGTGATTGTTAAATGACGTTGTGGAGTGGGGCGTTAAAGAAAACAGAATTGCACAGTTAAAATGAAAAGCATTATAGCTAGAAGATTCCCTCTAAGACCCTGTCATGAATAATTTTACAATAAGTAAGGTTTTTACCGTCTATACAAACCGAAAATACTCCTTGCAGCTTAAAAGAATTAATAAAAATGCTTGCTATTGCGATACTTTGGTGGCAGACAAAATTGTGCTCTTTACAGATAATTTCTTTTAAATCTTCGATGAGCACACGACAAGGAGTAAAATTCATTTAAGACGTCACAATTCTTAAATGCAACGCAATTCGTTGGAAAATTTCAACGTGGTCATCATCCTGCATTAACCATGTTTGGTAGTATGTGTTCTACCAAGGAGAAACAAAATTTTATTTTAGTGAATAAAGAGTACTAGAATAAGAACTTCTCTTCTTTATTCTTCTTTTAAGTTTATTGAGATACTGTCTTGGATCGTATACTGTCGCACACACACTTTTGACAATACACTTTTGACCAGAAACTTTTTAAAATTCACCGTGAACTTCCCAGTAAGGCTCTACTCTTAGTCACAAGACCCGAAAAAGTCAAACCTAGCTCGAGAATAATTTTCTGAACTTCATAAGAGTTGAAGACTAGACCTTATCCAGTCCAGATCTGAAATGGCTATATATTGTGATCATTACGTTAGACATGACCAAAACGTTAGTCCGTAACCAAACCTTATGCTTCCTCTACACTACTCGCGAAGTAACTTCGACGAAGTGCTCGTCGAAGTCGATCGCAGTCCGAAGAACGTGACCACACACTCGTGCTACTTCGTGAAGAGCTCAGTCGTCTTGAGTCTCCCGCACCGTTAACATGAATGACGTTCAACAGGCAGCTGCTTTATGTACTTAATTGTGTGAATAGTACGATGTCAATGCGTTAACTAAATAAATAATTATGTAGAAAGCTATATATTTAATATTTATATATATAAAAAAATATTCATAACTGGCGTAAGCCGAGTAGTGTAGTGAGACGCTTCGTGTAACTTCGAGGTACTTCGCGAAGCCCTTTGACTCTGGCGCAAAAAACCGACAGCGATCGAAAGTCGCCCGAGGCGAAGCGAGGTTGGACGAAGTGAATCGAAGTACCTCTCTACACTATTCGCCTCGTCCAACTTCGATCTGCTTCGCGAGTAGTGTAGAGGAGGCAAAAGGGCTTCGCGAAGTACCTCGAAGTGACACGAAGCGTCTCACTACACTACTCGGCATACGTCCATTAGCGCTTTGACGCCGTACTGTTCACACGTGGGTGCGCGCGCATAAAATTATAATGACTGCGACCTGGTCACAGGAACAAGTCCTTTTCTTCTTGGAAACACTACAATCAGAGCGAGTTATTTGGGACCCAACTGACAGAGGACATAAAGACAGAAAAAAAATCAACGATGCTTGGGTGCGCATTCAAGGAATTTTCAATATGCCTATCCTAGAACTGAAAAAAAAGAAAGAATCTCTTTTTGCCACCTACAGGGGCTATTGCAGAAAAAAACAAGATTCACTTAAATCCGGTGCCGGCGTGGATGATATTTATCTTCCAGTATGGTTTGCATTTGAACATATGGATAATTTTTTGGGACCAGTATTTAAATGTAAACAAACAATGACAACGGTGAGTTTTTATTATTTAATTAGTGAGTAGGTTAAAAATTAATTCATTTCAATGCATGCTAATGTAAAGTAAATGCACACCTGTTTCACGGCTTTATTCAAATACGAATATATTATGAAAATGTATTTTATTTCCATATTTCATGAATTCCAACAACAGATAGGCAAGATTTCTCCAAAGTATATGAATGGTGTTGTTACTGTTTATTTTTTTACATTTGTATGCATTGTATGATTTTCATTACATTTAGTAATAAATTTTAACCGACTTCAAAACGGAGGAGGTATGCAACTCGAGTGTGTTTGTTTTGTATGTATGTTACTTACGCGATATCTTCGCAGATTGTTACACAATTTCGATAATTTTTTTTTTATTAAATAGGTGATCCCATATAAGGGTGGTCTCATTATAATTTGGAGAAAAAAATTCATCCCAAAGGGTAGAAAATAAATAACTTTGTTTTTAGCGATTTGAATTCGGTTTTTACTTTTTGTCAAAAGTTTATAACTTTTATTAACAAACAAAAACGGGACAAAAAAAGTCTTTTATTGACCAAACAATCTTTATTAGGCTTTTTACATAATTAATAGTATTTATATGCCGGATTTCCATATCCAAGGATTTAATAAGCATACAATAATTAATTATTTCTAAAAAGATACTCCGCAAAATGATCTCTTATCTGAGTGGCAGATAATGTTGATCTGCGTGGTATTTGTGCAATATTTCTCAAAGCACAGTTTTTATCAACGTTCTGCCGCCAAGTTCCAGGTTGAAGTAATACTCCGTTTTCATCATATGTGTCCACAATACCGGGTGGCATATAAATATGAGATGAATTATTACTTTTTCTGAGAAAGTTGTGCAATAAGAGACAAGTCATTATAATAATAGGAACGGTTTCGATATTTATATCAATTGGCTTTTTGAATATTCTAAACCTGTTTGCTAAAATACCAAAAACATTCTCAACTACAACCCGAGACCTTGACAAGCGTGTATTAAAAATTCGTTTAGGCGAACCAATATTATGAGTACCAGGATATGGTTTCATTATATTATTATGCAAAGCAAATGCTCCGTCAGCCAAAAACACGTAGGGAATATTAGCTTTATCAGCGCTAGACAATGAGCGTGGCTTAGGCAAATTAAGAGTTTCGGATGAAATTTTTTGCCACAACGAAGAATTTTTAAATACACCTCCGTCACTGATCCTTCCTTGACTGCCAATGTTGGCATACATCAATTTATAATTACAGTCCACTAAAGCCAATAGTACTATACTGAATGTTTTCTTATAATTGAAGTACTCAGAACCCGAATTGTCTGGACATTGTATAATAATATGCTTTCCATCAATTACACCAACAGCATGCGGGAAATTATTTTTAAATCCGTTTTCAACTTCTAACCACTGCTGCTCATTGACTGGCATCTGAAATACAAAAAAAAATTTATAACCAGATTGCGTTTTTTATTTCAGGACACTGCAACTGTTCCTAATGAACTTGAAGAGGAAAATGAGGCCGCCGAATCAACAGATTCTTCGATTCCACCAGATACGCTTAATTCATGTGAGGCACTCGATCCAACACCAACGCAAAATAGGACTATCCGGCGTCGTCTCAACCCACCAGAATTACAAATTGCCAGCAAACAAATGTCTGAGGCATTTAACAATTTAAATAAAATGATTAACAAGCAAGATGTTGTTGAAGATGAGTGTGACATATTTGGCAAACTGATTGCCAAAAAATTAAAGAAGATACCTGAACATGAAAGGGAAGAAATAATGTTCGACATTCATGCCTTATTTCGAAGACCACGTAGTTTTGAAAGATCATCTGTTGATTCATTACGTTCCCCTACACCAACTTGTAGAAATTATCCTAATGTCACAATGACTTCTCCCAGGCCACACTCATCATTTTCAGAGCCTCACAACTCATTTGTACCATTTTCCGATGGAACTGACGGAAGACAATACATGTTACATATCCCGGAAACAAATGAAAATACTTTCCTTAATGAAAAATCTTCAATGGTTCACATTATAAGGGATGAAGTTGTTAGGCCAGCCGATAAAATTTCTTCGGTAACCAGCCCAACTACAATCCAAACTCGATTCGTCCCCTACCAAACGTCTTCTATGAATAATATAATAAATCAAGCATACTATAAGTCTGAATAATACCTACTCATAATTTTAATTGTAATTTTAAATAGTAATAAGCTTAAATTAAATAAAATTATGTTCAAAAATTTTAAACATCTACCTTTATTTCATCCTTAAGAACGTCGTTAAGAGCTTTGCAAACATCAACTACTATTTTTGAAATTAACTGACTTGAAATTTTAAATAAATAGTGCAGGCTTTTAAAACTGTCGCCAGTTGCTAAAAATCTCAAAGTGACTGCTAAACGAATCTTGGCAGGTATAGCTTCCCTTAAATGAGTATCTTGCTTAGAGATAAGTGGCAGAACTTTGGAAAGCAAGTAATTAAAATCCGTCAAAGACATTCGATGGAAATTTTCGAATTCTCCAGATGGTTCTTGTATCAGTTCAACAAATTGTTGCTCCATACTATGTCTGCAAAAATATGAAATATAAATTAAAAATAGTCATAATAGTAATAATAATATGTGCATATATTTAGACTTTTCTACTTGTGGTAAAAGTTCTTAATTTTGCCTTGTTTACTAACCTAGTTCTGTTCCGGTGCATTGCAATCATCCACCATCTCCTTTTTCTCCATTTCTTTTTAATTTTTGTTGTATATAAAACACGCACGTAATTATAATACGCGAGCGAACACATTGCAACAGCAGCTGCCTCTTGAACGTTATTCATGTTACGGGTACGGGAGACCCAAGACGACTGAGCTCTTCGCGAAGTAGCACGAGTGTGTGGTTACGTACTTCGGCTTCGATGGACTTCGACGAGCACTTCGTCGAAGTTACTTCGCGAGTAGTGTAGAGGAAGCATTATTATGCCTCCTCTACACTACTCGCGAAGCAGATCGAAGTTGGACGAGGCGAATAGTGTAGAGAGGTACTTCGATTCACTTCGTCCAACCTCGCTTCGCCTCGGGCGACTTTCGATCGCTGTCGGTTTTTTGCGCCAGAGTCAAAGGGCTTCGCGAAGTACCTCGAAGTTACACGAAGCGTCTCACTACACTACTCGGCTTACGCCAGTTATGAATATTTTTTTATATATATAAATATTAAATATATAGCTTTCTACATAATTATTTATTTAGTTAACGCATTGACATCGTACTATTCACACAATTAGGTACATAAAGCAGCTGCCTGTTGAACGTCATTCATGTTAACGGTGCGGGAGACTCAAGACGACTGAGCTCTTCACGAAGTAGCACGAGTGTGTGGTCACGTTCTTCGGACTGCGATCGACTTCGACGAGCACTTCGTCGAAGTTACTTCGCGAGTAGTGTAGAGGAAGCATTATGCCTCCTCTACACTACTCGCGAAGCAGATCGAAGTTGGACGAGGCGAATAGTGTAGAGAGGTACTTCGATTCACTTCGTCCAACCTCGCTTCGCCTCGGGCGACTTTCGATCGCTGTCGGTTTTTTGCGCCAGAGTCAAAGGGCTTCGCGAAGTACCTCGAAGTTACACGAAGCGTCTCACTACACTACTCGGCTTACGCCAGTTATGAATATTTTTTTATATATATAAATATTAAATATATAGCTTTCTACATAATTATTTATTTAGTTAACGCATTGACATCGTACTATTCACACAATTAAGTACATAAAGCAGCTGCCTGTTGAACGTCATTCATGTTAACGGTGCGGGAGACTCAAGACGACTGAGCTCTTCACGAAGTAGCACGAGTGTGTGGTCACGTTCTTCGGACTGCGATCGACTTCGACGAGCACTTCGTCGAAGTTACTTCGCGAGTAGTGTAGAGGAAGCATTACATTGAGTCATTCAAGAAATCTTTAGAGCAAGCAAGGGCAAAATTTTCTATAGAGACAGTGCGTAAATCCATAGGTTCATGACAAGCTGGAAAAGGCCTGTATCTAATGAAAGCCAAAGGTGGCACTTTGAATAAAATTATATTTAATGAATCGCTTACACTTAGATTAATATGTACATATATTTTTGTTATTACTCTATTCCTTTAAAAGTAATATGCATTTTAATATATATCAGAACTTAAGGCCGTAATTAGTATCTACCTATATAGTCTGAGAGCTGGCGACGAATTTTGGGAAGGTCCTTTAGGCAAGTTGAAATTGTGAAAAAATATAATTTCGTCAGTTGGCGAATCCAGTCCCGCGAGTCTGGCAGAGCGTTTGCGGTTATTTTGTTACTGTGCAGCATATAATAATATATTTATATAATATAATATAAATAATATAGTATAATTATACAATATACTCGTATATCAGAGTATAGTGTACTTTTCGTTGATGATCGTAAACAAATAAAATATATTGATAACTACAATATCGTAACTTGTTGCTTCATAATAATTTACTTGTTTTAAAGCTGAAATATTTACCCCTTGAGCCATGGAGTGACGATGATGCTTTTGACATCCAGCACTCAGCAGTAGCAGATGAAGAGTCGCCGCAGCCAGCCATTGCCGAAGACCTGTAATGAGAAATGAAATGTCTAAAATATTTTTAAATTTTTTAAAAGACTTCAGTAGTTGAGCATTTAAAATTGCAATTTACAATTATTTCATTGGTGCCGACGGGGATCGAACCCTGGTTGCTCGCGTGCTATAAAATGTACAACGAGTGCCAAACAAAATACATATGAATCGTTTTCAAAATTGCGGTATTTTCATGCGTAAGTTAATGACGAGAGCGTGAGTGTTTAGTTGAAGCTCGCATAAAGTTGATCACTTATTCAACTTTTCACAGTTGCTGATTGTCCTAGTTACTAGACTGACAATATATTTTTTGTTTTTACTTTATTCAAACACAAATAATATTCGAAGAGTTCATTAGTACACGACGACCAAGTCTGTTAGAAATTCTTATCAAAATAATATCTATAAAAAAACTTAGAGCAAAAGTGAACGTGGACTAAATACTGAACAATGGAAGACGCATTGGAGGGACTCAAACAAGAATGTAAAATTGCCAAAAAATGCACATTTTTATTTAATATTAAAATTAAACTTAAAAACTTACTTCAAAAATAATTTTCACAAAATCGCTTCTGAAGTCGGTGCTAAGAACCGTTACCGTTACAGCCTATTAAAGTCTTTATGATTGAATCCTGCCATAGTTGCCACGTTTGGCAAACGGGTTGGCAATAGCAGTTTTTTATTACTTTGAGTTGTTATCAGGAAGATGCCGCTGCCCAAATCCTCTTTCATTTTCCCTCTGTCGCCTTTTACGACACACGGGACGATATGGGCTAGTGGATATTCTTACACCGCCACTACGCGGAAATATTGCTGTACAATGCAACAGTCTATGAAACAAAAGCAATAATAATATATAGAAGGTCTCTAAGATGCATAAGCATTATAATAGCCGAGTTGGGCTTGAAGTCAACATAATATGAAAGTAAGATCTATGAAATAAAGCAAATATGTGGAAGGTAATATAAATATGTCAGCCCACACTACCAAATTTTTGGACAGATCGTTCACAATACAAGCTGTTCGATTATGGAATGACTTGCCGTTATCAGCAAGACGCGCTCAATCCCTACCGGTTTTTAAGAAACATGTACATGATAACTTTTCTCAACTTTGATTCTATCTAGTTCATTTGTATATAATTATTCTCCTTTATTTAGTTACAATATTTGTTTATAAGTATGGCACTTTTATGTTATATGTAATAGTTTTAAAGTATATATTTGTACTTTTATATATTTATATTTGTTACGGCCTACGGCTGCTCTCTTAAAGGATCAGACCTTCAGGGGCCCATGAGCTGAAGACCTCTCGAGCAGACGTAGGTCGGGCCTCCTAAGGCCACGTGGAATCTAATTACACTAAAATATATGGGGGAGCGTTATACTACGGCCAGTCGACCGGAAGGAATTTGGCGGAGTTCACTTACCTCGATCCAAGACGACTGGTCCCTCCGGAGTCGGTCAGGTCGCATGTAGTTGTGTAGTGCAAGGGAAAGAATGGTGATGTGGTGTGTATCTGGGTGTGACTGATGGTGATTAAACCTGGACCTTAGCCGTCGGCGGCAGCCCGAGCGTCGACACCGCTCCAATTTGAGGGGACCTTTCGAGGTTATCCACAGTCACTTTCTTGGTTCACCACGATGACAGTCACTTAACTCTATCGTACGATTAACTAGCTTACAGAAGCCACTAACTAACGCGGGGTATAAGGTTACCGCACAAAACACGCCCGGAGTTTCTGGGTCAAAGGTCACTACCGTTTCGCGTGGCAACAGTTAGTTCTAAATACCGAGGCCGCACTAGCTTATATTGTCGAATGCACTTATGCAGGTTCTGAATCGGACCCAATAAGTCCCGGGAAAGGCTATCCAAACAGGGAATGCGCGTTATAATTCCTAGACAGGATATTTACTAGACGCCCTAACTATTCCGCGGTTCCCGCACAAAATTAACAGCGTGCAAACATTAGCACATCTGGCAGATGACTGACTCGCTTGCGACCCGCGCGCCACTGCCACGCTCGGAAGAACTTCAGACCGGAATCGCGCCGAGCCGAGTGACATCTGGTGTCGATTCCGACAACAGAGTTTTGCGCGAACAATATTTATAAAAATATATATTTATTTGTATATTTATACATATATATTAATAAGTATATATGTATTTATCTTATCTATGTAGTTACTGTCCGACTAGGTAAGTCCAACTTCGACCGAGAGGTCAATCGACGGATTCAACTCGGCTGGGCAGCGTTCGGGAAGCTACGACACATCTTCTCGTCAGACATACCTCAAAACCTTAAAACGAAATTGTACAACCAGTGCGTGTTGCCAGTGATGACTTACGGAACTGAGACGTGGTCCTTCACTGCTGGCCGTATGAGGAAGCTCAAGGTCGCTCAGCGAGCTATGGAGAGGGCTATGCTCGGAGTTTCTCTGCGTGATAAACTTAGGAATGAGGATATCCGCAGTAGAACCAGAGTGACCGACATAGCCCAACGGATTAGTAAGCTGAAGTGGCAGTGGGCCGGCCATATAGCTCGAAGAACCGACAACCGATGGGGAAGAAAGGTTCTCGAGTGGCAGCCTCGTACCGGTAGGCGAAGTGTAGGGAATCCCCCCACGAGATGGAGTGACGACCTGGTAAGACATGCAGGAAGTCGATGGATGCAGGTGGCTCAGGACCGTGCTTTGTGGCATTCTTTGGGGGAGGCCTATGTTCAGCAGTGGACTTGTGAAGGGCTGTAATGATGATGTAGTTACTTATATACCATTATATATTTTTATTTATGGCTTTAATAAAAATAATGTTATTTTGTCAGCAAACCACACACGTTTTTATTGTTTTCTTGCAATGCTGTCCATCCAAAGGTTGTCTGGAAGAGATCGCTCTTAGCGATAAGACCGCCCATTGTACCACATTTCTTTTTCTCATTATCTTCTATACATATAATAAAACTGTAAATAGCAGATGTCTGTACATTTTATATTTTTGTAATAAAAGTGATTGAGGGGTACTAAAAATAAGTAATTAAATACATTTCTACCATTTTTAGAATTTTCTGTCTGTCTGTCTGTCTGTCTGTCTGTCTGTTTGTTTGTTAACGTATCACGTATAAAGTACTAATTTATATCATAAGAATTGTTAAGGAAATTATAAAGTGTATCTTCGGGTTACATTTAGTCTTTATTTCATTAAAATCAGTTCATTCCATCAAAAGTTATGATAAATATTCTGAAGTATGGGTAGGGAAGTATAGGTACGAATTTGCTCAACGGTGGCTTTGTTTGAGTCATCAGGTGCATTTTAAACTAATATCATATCATAAATCATAGTTAAATTATGTAAAATAATGATATAATTATGTATATCTAAAACGCAGTAAACAAAAGTATTAAAAAACGTATTAAATATATTATACAAAAATATATTAACCTTATTAACTAAATCTGAAGCACAATAGTTTTCCCATTTCTTCGATAGATGGTGGTGTTGTGAAAATGTAATGCAATTGCAATGTTTTTTTTCCTGTAGATGAGTTTTCATATTTACTGCTAATCTTTATTATATTACTCGCTGCCGTACTGCGTGTTGATAAACTCAATTTATTCTTTACCGCCGAGTACTCTATGTGGTAAATCAAATTTTAAAAGAGCTATTAACAAATCGTTGGTTTTGGCGAGATTCAAACTTTATTTTTTGCTTACTGTGCAGGCACTGATTTATAAGTACTCTTGCGTTTTATATAATGTATCAATCGCGTCAATTAATCTCATTTATTTTTAGAATTGATGTTAGCAGCGCCATCTCTCTTCAAATATATACATATAATAAAAATGATGATAACATATTGTGTCTCTTTCTGTACATTGTATAGGTATATATTTTGGTGGCTAAAATCATTATGGGGAACTGAAAATAATTAAATAAGAACATTTTAGAATTTTTAGAATTGTCTGTATGTCTATTTGTCTGTTATTATATGAACGCATCACGTCTAAAGTAAACATCTTTTACTTTCAAAGAAATCGTTAAGAAAATCATAAAGCGTATCTTCGAGTTACATTTAATCTTTGTTTTATTAAAATTGGTTAATTCTATCGAAAGTAATGATTATTATTTTGAAATGTAGGTTCGAATTTGTTCAATGGCGCCATAAAATCTCAGAAATAGTAATAAAAAGATTTGTGTGTAAAAAAAACGTTCCATAATAATTAATATATTTATACTTAAAACACAAAAAGAGATCTAAAAAGGATGTTTTCTCACACAAAGGACGTAATAGATGGAGTTGTACAAATTACAAACTTTTCTGAATTGCTGTGTTGAGATTTTTCGCCGATGAATCGCAGCCATACAACGGAATCCGACCAAAAATAAAAATTTTGCAACGAAATGTCGTGATATTGTATTTATAATATACGCAAAATCAGTACTGCCACTTTAGCGCTTTGGGAACTAGATTTAGCGCTTTTTTGGAATGTATAGCGCGCATTTCGAAATTTTAGCCCTAGCTTAATCCAGCGCTTTTTGGTGTATTTAGCACACATTTCAATATTTTAGCGACTAGCGGGTTATTAACTCTTTTATAGCAGCACTGTTAGTCCACATTACCGATAATAATAATAATGACCTTTATTATTTTTTCCCACAAATAGTATATTTGCAGTTTATCTTTTTCAAACATATTTTTTCCACAAAACAAAGAGCATGGGAGACGAGTCCAAACTAGGATACCCTGTGCTATGGATCTCCTGGCTTCCCCTTTAGGATGATCAACTTGATTTTTTTACCGACGACTATAAGCGGGGAAACCCCTTTATTAAAGTTTTTGTTCATGGTTTTAGCAACGCATTTATTTTGCTTTATTCAGTTTCAGTCAGTTGCTTAGAGCACAGCTAAGTTAAAAGTTACTTAGAAGTTATAACACAAAGAAACTGTGTAGCAACCGCAATCAGATGCTGACATCTGAAACTAAGTTGCGAAATACATTG